ACTAAAGTTTCGTCGGAACGAAGTTACGGAAAGTTAATTAACAAACGGAGACGTAACAATATGATAAAATGAAGTGGAAGCACCTGGACCTATTTTAGCATTAGAGTTACTTCTATTGTGCTATAGCTGGGAGCAAATACACAGCTTCCAACATGTATGAAATCGATAGTTGTGCAAACAATCTAGATTCCACATAGTGACTGAAGCCAAACTGTTTGCCAAATATACTGATGTGTTAGTACCATGTGGTATGGCTAGATAACTAAAAATTACTATTATATAGATGTAGATAATGTACATCTGATTAAATAGCCTCTGCATAGGCTTCCCTGAAGTACTAGATATATATTAAATGCTGAAAGACAGAATCATACAACCTTCACAGAGAGTATAGTCATTTTTATTAGTGATTGTCATGAGGGTTCTCCAAGGTTCTCTATTGATTTTAGATGGATAAATGCAATGACCCATGTTGATGCCTTCTGCTCCAGCAAACAGATTAATGGATTGTCTGGATGCATTGAAAGGTGCCTGTTGGTTCAACATTTATGGAACTGTCAAATGGACTGGATGGGGTGTGACTTGTCGCAGGTCTCTTTCTGAATAGTTCTGGTTCTCCACATTCATTCATATCCCTTTGTCTTCCAATGTCATTAAGTACAAAGGATATCACCATCTTGGAAATTCTAAATCCTCAATCAGAACACAATATGGCTTAAGAGTATGATTATTTTGTGTTGGAAAAAGCTGTTATATACCCTTTGCGAAAGCGTTCAATTTTGGGTGGCATCACACTATCCATGAAATGGCATATGATTTCAAAATTTACTTTTGATAAATGCATTCCACTGCGACTTTATTTGAGCTGTGGTTGTCACGTGAATTGTTGACCTGAATATTCAGAATTGTTTTAATATAATGTGCTCAATTCTATAGCTTTTGGTGTAAGGCAAAAGATAATTCACAGTATTTGCGTATTTTTTATAAAAAATCAGCAAAGGAATGATGGTGGCACATAAACCTGCCTGAAAAGTCTTAATTCTGCAAAATCAAGTGGTAATAACTTTTCTAAAAAAATATATGCTGATTTTGATGAACATAAAATCATTTTGAATCAAGATATTAAGCTTTTTATACATCATGTTATAGCCTTAATACCATAATACGCAAAGCTAGAACACATTTTGGGGTAGCTATTAGCCACTTAACACAAAAGCCAAGACCTTGTTTTTTTGCTGTTAGACTGGCCATTTGTATTGAGGTATCTTCATAAATGAAAGAACATACAAACACTGCAATTGCGCTCCAGGCTGGTTGGTATATATGCTATTTAAAGTCTTTGATACATTTCATTAAATCATCACCAATACATAAAGAAAACAAAAATTTATGTCATTAATAAGGAAATTAATCCTGCCATATTGCCTATGTTGTTTTACTTCTATCTATACAGATTTGGATCTGAAAAACACTACTATTAGCTACAATAAATAAATGACTTATGGTGTAATGTCATTACAAAAATATTATTTTACAGTATATTTATTCACTTCTGAAACTGAACAAAATTATACATCTTAGACAATTTTATATTAGGTGAGAAATATACAATAGTTACTTTTTTAATACCCTAGCCAATCCTATATCCTTTTTGATAGCAGAATCTAATTCAGCCTGAAAAAAAGAATATAGCAAAGTTAGAGCACAAGATTTGTTCATTGTCAATATGCTAATCTTCTTTAACTTGCTGATTTTTCAATCAATTTTTAATATTTGTGCAAAACTACACAAGGGCTATCCTTAATTCTGAACTGATAGAAAGCAGCTAACCAATAGCACCCATTGCCAATTCTTTGGCTAATCAACAAGTGAGATTTGGTCATTTCTCTTATTATGCACTTGTGGTCCCAAAATGCAGACCATGAACCCTCACATCCATAGTCTGGCACACTCACCACAAATCATGCCCAACTCTACATAAATGTAAAAAATTAAAATACTACTAAATGCTTTTTATTCTGTACATTTAATTCTTTGATGCACTACTATCTTATGGTCTATAATTTATCTACATTTTTCAGTATGCTATAAATAGGATAAAAATCCTTTTGTGTTTGGAGCAGCAAAATATGATCATTACAGACCAAGCATTTCTGCTAACAGTTTATGGCATGCAAATTAAAAAAGTTAAGTAAAGAATAATATTTTCTTTCTCTTTGTTATAAACTCATCCATCAGCCATGAACAGTTTATTAACAAACAATGTCAAAAGTCAGAAAGAGATGAGGGGGTGCTTCTCTGGTGGGTTGGAAAATCTTTTTGATATCTCAGCAAATCAAGAAGGCAGGATGTTCAAATTTTATATTCTTGCTTATAATTGTGCATACATTGTGTTTCTAATTGGTTGGAAACTCCATCAGCCTATCTTAAAAATAAGAAAATTCTGAAGTGGAGAAATTAGAGGTCAGATGTGTCACATGACACAGAAAATTAAGACCGAGATTTTGAAATTAAGAAGATAAAATTTAAATAATATAAATATTTCAAACAGTATGTTTTCATGCCAGATTTATTGAAATACACTAATAATAATGTTGTTTAATTAAATTTTGAATGTAACACTTCAAAAGGTCATGATATGTGCATTTTGACCTGGCTGTGTGGAAAGAGTTAATGTGAAGTAACTGACTCTAATATGTTTCTCTTTTGGTCAGATTTGATTTATTCACTCTCTGCATACATTTCCTAGAAAACTCTTATTGTGGTTTACTTAGATGCTGGTCAAAGAGTTGTGTGCTATAGATTAGTAATGTTTATTTTCCCCCATGCCTTATAGACTGGACTTTCTACTTTAAATTAAGGGCTTGTGCAAAGGATAAACATTTGATTCCAAAACGTTTGTAAATCTTTATGACTTAAAGTTGGACACCTGGTATGAAATATGTTAAAACAAGATTAATCAAATATCTATAAAACAATAACAAACTTTTGTGTTTACCATAAAATCTTCCCTGCCAAAATAAAAATTCATAAATACAGAAGTAATTTTATCGATAAATAAGTACTTGAACCAATAAATATTGTATTACAGAATAATTATGCCTGGAACAAACACAGCAGACCCACATCACTCATTAATTTTCTCTGTGCAAGGCATACCATTAACATTTAATCTAGTAGTATTAAATGTGGACAGATGTGGAAGTATATAATGTCAGTCAAACTTGCAAAACTTAGTCACAAGAAGTAACTATTGTAAACAGTGAATGTTTTTAAATTCATAGTTACAGTCTAACCTCAGTATATTTTCTGTAGAATGATTTTTCTACACACACACACAAAAGGAGGCCTATATAAATGGGTGTGAGAATGTGTGAAGAAATATCGTGTAGCTTGAAGACTGAAAAACCAGCAATGTTATTTTTATTTTACCATGATTGAAACTTTAAACCAAAGTAATTGGGTAGCTAAATATGTACGATTTAGAAAAAGAGCTCTATGTATAAAATATATCAACTGATACAGCATACTAAGGTAAAATCACGTTGATCTTCATGGAGCTGAATGTCAAGAGTTAAATATAACCATTTGTTTCATGCCCTATTATTAAAATTTCTACTGAAAAAAAAGTGGTTGGGGGGGAAGAAAGAGTTCTTTAAAGTATAAATCCACCTAGTTATTTGAATCCACAAACTTTAATGCTGCAATTTTTTACTTTTTTCAACTTAATCTCAGGTGGGTTTCAGAGAAAATGCTAATCTTAGTCTAACTTGTCCTTTATTAAGAATTATGTGTTGTTCCTGTTTTATTTTTTTCTCTAGTTCTTTCTGTAGTCTCTGGCCCTCGTCATCAATTCTGCGTTGTTCCTCCACCATTGCTAACCTTTCCTCTGCCTGAGAGCAAACAAAATAAAGTAACTAAAGTATTTCTCAAACACTATCAGTAAAAGTTACAGGTCTGTATACAAAGCTTCCAGTTACTGATAAATGATCAACTATTTTACTTGTTCAATTTTATTTTTTTTAACCTTTACTAAGAGCAGTAATTTTGCAATGAATAAGATAAACAATTATCTCTATATCAAAACATTATAATCTAATGGTTAGTTTATTACACACAGTAATAGAATTAATTATAAAAACATATAAGTGATACACATACAAAAGTTGATAATGGACCAACAATAATTTATAAGCATGTATATATTGTTGCATCTGCGAGTCACATGACTACAGTGACGCCACTTTTCTAGAACTATCCCGTATCTTGGCGAATGCTCTAGTATTTGCTAGATATAGGGTAGTTTGGTATATATAAGAGGGGACAACGTGATGCGAGAGGATAATGTAATGTCTGTGTA